AAACAATTACCATAGAAGTAAAAGCTTAAATATTATACATTCTAAAGCAACTAATAAAAGCAAATGCAAAGTAATGCAAAAGCAGTTAATAGAAGATCTACTATAATACAGTCATAAAGCCTAGTTCACTCACACTTCAGCCGTATGCTACCTGCAGTACCAGGCAGGAGGTCCTGGTTCCTTTTCTTCCCACACAATGGCAATGTCATGCTCTGGGTTGCTGGTGTGAAGGGTCTGTTACTTCTAGTTGCATCCAGCAGGACCTGTGGGTCAGTCCTGCCCATTCCCTCCCTTCGATTGTTCTTACTAAGCCCAATTTATAGCAAAGCCAGACTTGGTCATTCTAATATATTTACCAATTGATTATGTATTGTTGGATACATAAAATGCCCAATACCCCTCTTTGGGGTACATCCCGCTACTCAGGATGTTACTTAAAACTGTGCGTGGTTGACAGTTTCATGGCTGCATCTGTACTTTTTGCTTATCAGAAACAGAAGTACCAGTACAAGGTGCTTGTTGTGTGTTCTTGACGTGGTCATGCGTTCCATGCTTAATCTGCATTTGTTATTGAAAACATTCCTTCCTCACAGCTTCTCCCTCCCACACCATGCCTGCGTGCTATGTGCACCAGATTTGAGACAGGCCTGAGTGTTGCTTTTAGGGATCCGCGCTCTGGACAAGGCAGACATCACCAGTTATTGCCAGGGCAGGGTAGTCTAGGCCCCCCTGCAGACACACCCACATCTCAGTGGTGGCAGATGGCTGAATGAGGAGCAATGGTCTCAAGCTGCTGTGGGGAAGATCCAGGTTGGATATTAGGAAAACTATTTCCCTTGAAGGGTGGTGAAGCACTGGGATGGGTTCCCTAGGGAGGGGTGGAATCTCCATCCCTAGAGATTTTGAAGTTCCAGTTTGACAAAGCCCTGGCTGGGATGATTGAGTTGGGGTCCTGCTTTGGGCAGGGGGCTGGACTCGACCTCCGAAGGTCTCTGCCCGCCCTGGGGTTCTATGATTCTGGGGTGGGGGGTTGTACCCTTGCATCATCTTTTGGGGGGGAGTGTTAATACCATACTTGGTATTGGGGTGTTCTGGTGCCGTCCCTCTGGAATGTGCTTATGTAAATGTCCTGTGTTTAGCATTTCGTAGGACTGTGCATGGTTTTGCAATACCAGCCCTGTTTGTGCCAGAGTCTGTGAGGCCACACACAGGCAAAGCTTGACCTTTGCTAACTGTGTTTTATATTTGTAACGCTTGGCCTCTGCTTTTGTTCAAGTCTAAGGCCTCATAATGAGTCTCTGATGCAAGACCTCTTGCCTCAGGGTCTATTTCTACTATAAGTGGCAGTGGCTGCTTATCTTCAGCAAGAAGCAATGTAGTCTTCCTGTGTCTGAAAAGCCAAGGTCCAGTCTCACAAACCAGTATTAATTTCAATCCAGACAGCTCTTTCTTCCAGAACCGGCACTCCAGGTAAATGTAAAGGTATCCAAATTAGCCCACTTCAGTTCTGATGCCTTGTCAAGTGTAAATAAGAGTCATTTACAGATCATGCATCTTGCATGTTTTAGATCAGACCCTTTCCCTGTACTCCAAAGCTATAAAATTATGGAATTGCTGTATAGCTGGCCAGATTCAGATCTCAGCTGCTTTCCTGGAATCCAAACCTATTGCTCAGCAGTGGCTCCTCCCAGGACTACAAATGGGAGTTGGACTCTCAAATCCTTCATGGAATATCCCAGAGGTGGGGGCTGCTTCTTATGGACCTGTACACCACATCCACCAACAAGAAGTTCCCATTGGAAGCAAGACTGAAGGGAAAAACAACTGAGGAGAGTTGCAAGTATTTCAAAGGGATGTTGTTAAGGGCCCAAAAGCAAACAATTCCGCTGTGTAGGAAAGATAGAAAATATGGCAAAAGACCAGCTTGGCTTAACAAGGAGATCTTGCATGATCTCAAAATAAAAAAGGAGTCTCATAAAAAATGGAAACTAGGACAAATAACAAAGGATGAATATAGGCAAGCAACACGGGAATGCAGGGGCAAGATTAGAAAGGCAAAGGCACAAAATGAGATCAAACTAGCTACAGGCATAAAGGGAAACAAGTTGTTGTTAACGGTTCTAAATCCTGCTGGAAAGGGATAACAAGTGGAGTTCCGCAAGGGTCTGTTTTGGGACCCGTACTGTTCAATATCTTCATCAATGATGTAGATATTGGGATAGAGAGTACGCTTATTAAGTCTGCAGATGATACCAAACTGGGTGGGGTTGCAACTTCTTTGGAGGATAGGGACATAATTCAAAATGACCGTAGCAAGTTAGAGAAATGGTCAGAGGTAAACAGGATGAGGTTTAATAAAGAGAAATGCAAAGTGCTCCACTTAGGAAGGAACAATCAGTTCCATACATACAAGATGGGAAGCGACTGTCTAGGAAGGAGCATGGCGGAAAGGGATCTAGGGGTCATAGTGGACCAGAAGTTGAATATGAGTCAACAGTGTGATGCTGCTGCAAAAAGAGCAAATATGATTCTAGGTTGTATCAACAGGTGTGTTGTAAGCAAAACTCGTGAAGTCATTCTGCCGCTCTACTCTGCACTAGTTAGGCCTCAGCTGGAGCACTGTGTCCAGTTCTGGGCGCCACATTTCAAGAAAGATGTGGAGAAATTGGAAAGGGTATAGAGAAGAGCGACAAGAATGATTAAAGGTTTAGAGAACATGACCTATAAAGCCAGGCTTCATGAACTGGGCTTGTTTAGTTTGGAAAAAAGAAGATTAAGGGGGGACATGATAGCGGTTTTCAAATATCTAAAAGGGTGTCACAAGGAGGAAGGAGAAAATTTGTTCCTCTCGGTTACTGAGGACAGGACAAGGAGTAATGGGCTTAAAGTGCAGCAGGGGAGATTTAGATTGGACATTAGGAAAAAATTCCTAACTGTCAGGGTGGTCAGATATTGGAATAAATTGCCAAGGGAGGTGGTGGAATCTCCCTCTCTGGAGATATTTAAGAACAGGTTAGATAGACATCTGTCAGGGATGGTGTAGACGGAGCTTGGTCCTGCCTTGAGGGCGGGGGACTGGACTCGATGACCTCTCGAGGTCCCTTCCAGTCCTATGATTCTATGATTATTTTCCTGAAGAGGATGTCTGAGTCACCTTCTTTGGAAGACACCTTTCTGCTTCATTGAGCAGAAGACCCGTTCTACATATTCACTCCAAAACTATTAATTGTAAGGGTGATGAGGCAGAACAAGGCCAGGGTTACCAGCCGAAGCACAGATGTTATCTTTACCTGCTTCCCTTTTGAGTCTGACTGGCACTCAAGCTTACAGCAGTCCCAGGATGCAGCTCTTGTGCTTCACCCCAGCCTAGAAGTCCTCCGTCTCTTAGATGGGGCATGGGATTAGGCTCCAGCAGCTCGACAGTAGACTGCATAATATTAAAGAGGAAGGCGCTAACGCTAATAACTTCAGAAAAGGAAGAAGTTCAACCACTGGTGTCACAGCCACTGCCTTTTGCCTTTATTTAGTCCTCCCTCTGTCATCTATTATCTGCTGGATTAAAAAAATCAGGCTTATCAATCAGCTCTGTTAAAATTCATCTCACTGCAATACCAGCTGTTCATTCTCCACCATTGTTGTGCATCTGATGTCCTTGAGATTTATTCAGGGTCTGGGGAATCTTTACCCACAGGTTAAGAATCTTGCTCAGTCTTCAAATCTCAACTGGGTACTTGGGTACCTTATGGGACCTCCATTTAATCTGTGGTGACCTGCTCCTTGCTTCACTTACTAGGAAAGTTCATCTTCATAGATATCTATCACATCAGTCCGAAAGCTAGAGAAATCAGAGCCTTCTTGGTAGACTCCTGCATTATTCAAGGGCAAGGTCTCTGTGTGACTGCACCCAAAGATCTTATCGGAAGTGCTGCTGAACTTCCATTTTAAGCAGTCTTAACCAGTGTTTTTTCCCTAAACCACATGCATCTCCGCTGATTTCCCTTTATATGTTAGCAGTATGATGGAGGTTATCTTTTTATATGGATAAGAATATCTAATTTTGGCAGCCACCTAGACTCTCTAATGCATGATCTCTTAGTGGATGGGTCTCTGGCTAGTTTAGTGCTGGCTATGATGCAGCTGGTGCTTTGTCCCCCTACAGGACTATAGCGCACTACAAGATCACAAGCAGCTCCACAGCATAACTCAGAAATATTCCAGTTGAGAGATGCAGAGGTGCCACCTTTCTTCTAAACCCTACGCTGTCAGGTCTGCTGCAGCGCTTGGTGCTCTTGTACTGTCTGTGGCCTGGGACTTGATTCCAGAGGTCGCTCACTCCGTCTCATGGAGCATGCTGCTCCGGAGTCAACGGACACAAAGTACCCATAAGGATAGTACTCAAAGAAGTAAAGCTGTGCAGTAACTGGTGTCCTTCGAGATGTGTGTTCCTACGGGGGCTTCACTACTGCCTTCCTTCCCCATTGCTTCAGGTTGTTTTGCTTGAATGTGCAGTTTTCCCCTGCAGCCCTGTGTGCCCTCAGAGTGTGGCATGAGATTGAACCGTCTATGATCAGGCCAAATGGATACTATTGATGGAAAATCTCTGATGAGGACATATGCACCTGCTGTGGCGCACCTTAAGGGAGGGACAGCTCAAGGAACCAGGTATTGCACAGGGTGAGAAAACATTTGCTTCTACTTCAGTAGCATTGCTTGCCTTCAGATGACTTTTTGAGTACTAAGTAGCTTTGCAGCAGCTCTGTGACAGAGGTTAGCATTAGAGATGGACAGAGGTAAGTAACATGAGCTGCTGAGGAGCATGTCAGGAGTCAGTGGCCATCAGGACTAGAAACTACTAGCTCCAGTCCCGAGCTCTTCACCATTTAATAATGCTTACTGAATGCTGCCTGTGCATCTGTCAGTCGGTCTCTCCTAGGGTCCATCTGAGACACATAAAACTCGTGTGTCCTGTTTGAAAAATAAAATTTGTTTCTGTTTTGCAGTATAAGTCTTCCAGAAAGTGTTCGAGTGGAAATGAAAATGATGAGGTGAGACATGCTGGCGGGTGGTAAATACTTCAGAAAACTCAGTATTTATCTGTGTTATTGCATCACCTAGGATCCCAGCCACAGGCGGGGTCACGCTGTGGTTGGTGTGCTGCAAACATTCCAGCCTAAGTTCAAAGAGACCGTGATTGCATGCAGACCGATGGGTGCACAAAGGAACAATGAGGCAATGGAGTATGTGCAGGATTTGTACACATTAGTAATAGTCCAGATATTAAATGGAACAACAGTGATCTGTAGCCTGCTATATATATACACACACATACTGTACACAGTTATAGGTGCTTTGGATGAAGTGTCAAAAATTAATCACTATTCATTGCAGTGCTGAACAATAATAGACTATAATTTATTTAAATATTTTGGATGTTTTCTAAATTTTCAAAGATATATATTTACACATATGTGTAACAATACAAAATGCCCAGTGCTCACTTGATATTTATTTTTTATTATGAACACTTGCACTGTAAAAAAACAGAAGAAATACAGTTTATCTGACCGGTCCCGAACCAGGGAATCTTCCAGACCAGGGGAGATCACTGCCGGCCCGGCCCCTCTGTTGCTGCCAGCTACAGGGCTGGGCCAGCATTGACCAAGCAGGGACTGGGGAGGGGACATTCGGGGAAGAGAGGGGGTGGTTGCAGAGCCTCATAGCTGGGGGCCAGGTGTGCAGACCCGCAGGAGTGCACCAATACCTGTGGCTGGCGGGCTGAGTCCTGGCCCCCTATACTGTGTCATCATCTGAGACTGTTATAACATGAAATATATGGCAGAATGCAGGAACAACAGAGCAGCAGGCTTACTATTCTTCAAGGAGTCCAGTCAAAAATTTAATTAATACTTTTTTTAATGAGCATGAAGTGGAAGCATTTCTCCTGGAATGGTGGCCCAAGCATGTAGGGTCATATGAATGTTTAGCATACCTGGCATGTAAATACTTGGTAATGCCAGCCACAGAAGTGATATGCAAACACTTGTACTCATTTTCAGGTGCCGTTGTAAATAAGAAGCCAGAAGTATTATTTCCTGTAAATGTGAGAAACTTGTTTGTATTAGCGACTGGTCTAGACGGCGCTTGGTCCTGCCTGAGGGCAGGGGACTGGACTCAATGACCTCTCGAGGTCCTTTCCAGTTCTAGTGTTCTGTGACTGGCTCAACAAGAAGTAAGTCTAAGACAGGCCTGCACAACTCGGAAACTGGCGAGGGCCATAATACTCCAAAGAAAACAGCTGCGGGGCACAAGGGTAGGTTTGGGGAGGGAGGGGTGATACTTTATTAAGAATTTTTCAATTAAATCGGGCCTGCCTAACATACGGCTCCCAATGCCCTTACCCTCTCCTCTCCCAGCATCACCCTGTCCCCCTCCCACTGACACCTCCCCTCCTGCCCTTTTCCTCATTGTCTCCACTTGGCCCCCTGGCATTTGTCTCTCTTGCACCCTGCCCCTTGGTGCCTTCCCCTTTCTCCTGACCTGCCCCCCTCCCCTCAGCACAAGCCCCTTCCCCTCCCCTACCTGGCTTCTGCCTTCCAGTTTAAGGGGCTGCCGGAGCCTTTTTGAATCCAGTGGTCGCCAGCCATGACGTCACGCCGCCACATCTGCCGGCGTCCCACCCTCTGACTCGCGCCCCGCCTCCTCGCACTGGAGCTGCGTGGAGGCAGCCCGGTGGTGAGAATCGCTGCACTTCCTCCTCCCTGGCAGCGCTCGTCTCCTCCGCCTGGCCGGCGGATTGGATGGGGCCGCGATGCCAGTAGTCGTCACAGGCCGCACAGTGAGGCCTGGTCTAAGAGGACTTGTAGGCTCTTGTTTTACATTGTTTTGGTTTTGAGTGCAGTTATTTAACAAAAAAAATTACATTTGAAAGTTACGCTACATTACTTGCATGAGGTGAATTAAAAGTACTGTTTGCTTTGTTTATCATTTTACAGTGCAAATATCTGTAATAGATATATTGAGCATTGTACTCTTTGTATTCTGTGTTCTAATGGAAAGCAATATATTTTAAAATATAGAAAAACATCCACAATATTTAATAAATTTCAATTGGTGTTTGTTTAATTTTGCAGTTAATCACATTTAATTTTGAGTTAATCACATGACTTGTCTGTGATTGGCAGCTCAAGATAATACCTAATGCATTCATGTTTAGCATTTGAATGTCTGGAATACAGTAACTAAACCGTTAACATTATTTTTTATATTCCTTTTTTTACCCCCATTTTTTGGTCTTGTTTTTCATTTCATTTTCAATATTTAAAGCAAAACCACTGGCAAACCATTATGTTGTCTGTTACCTTTCCATCTGCAAGGTCGGGGTTGCTGAAATATTCTTCCTTCACCATTGTCTTTTAACAATATGGTAACACACAAAACAGTTCTTTGGATTATTATAGGAGTTACCAGTTCAGCTCAAGTGTGAATGAAAAGATTAATATCTAATTAAAATCTGGAGAAGAATTGTATAGTGTAGAAAAAGCTGGATTTGAAAGAAAGATCCATTGACAACTTGCATTTTATTTTTGTGACCATCTTTAAGGAAATCTACACTAGTTCCAGTCTTTTTAGATAACCAAAATACTATTTCTAGATAAAGGTGTGTACTCTGAGACTTTAAAAAAAAAAAAAAAAAATTTACAACTAAATGAAAGGGGCTATATTTTAAAATAACATTAGCTTGAAAATGAAATAAATCGCAATGTATTTAATCAAGGATAGATTTAAACAATGTCCTGTGTATTGAGGTGTTAAAAATGTTTTACAATAGAAAAAACTCATTGTCAAATTATTGCTGTTATACATGTATGGAGTTTAGCTGAGTTTCAGTTTTCTTCATTTAGTCACTACCACATTGCCTGACACACACTTGAGGAAAAAATGTTGCGTGGGTCATGTGTCTTTTGTATGCGTTTTCATAATTTCATGTTAATACCCAGTTAGAATCATAATTTTCATTTTATAATTTCATCTCTTTGATTTCTTTTTAGCAAGACAGTGATAATACTAATGTGTCCCCACAGTCTCCTGTTTCATTTGAGGTACAAGTTTGTGTTTTGTTTTTTCTTTCAGTGAATGTTTGCTGTGTGTGCTAATTTGTTTTCATTGTGGTTCATTGTGTAAAAAATGCGTAGCCCTTGGCCAAATCAGAAAATGTTAATCAATGAGCTTTGCTTTGAAAGAGGAATTGAAATGTATGCACTTGTGCAATAACGTAAAAGCAGAATTAAATAGGAACCAATGACAGATTTCTTGTTAATTCCCTTAACTTGTCCTGCCTCCACTACCATCATGTCTGTCTTTCCCTCTCTGGTTTTTTTAAAGGTTGATCTATAAGAAAGAAGCATTTATTTTCTGCCTATCTTACTCTAGCAGACGAAAATAGCTACCGAAGAGAGAAATCAAAGCTGCCGTATTGAACAGAGCGTCAGTCCAGGCTGACCTACAAGTGTAGTTCGTCAGAGTGTTAGAAATAAGTTCTAGGTTTAGGAGCCCATCAAGTCCACAAAGAAGCCAGAGTTGTGAAAGGCCCCCCTCTAGAGAAGGGGTTTTACCCCCACAGTCCTGACTGCCTTATGCATTTTTTGCCCTGGCAGTGTGCTTCTCTGGCTGCTTGAGGCCTAAGACGAAAATGCTTTGTGGCTTGACCAGGATGTTTGACAGTGTCAGTTGCATTACAGTAGAGACTCAGGAAGTTAGTCCTGAAGGTGCTGCAGATCTACTTGTTTTTTTAAAGTTACAGACTAACACAGCTACACTTCTGAGAGCAGGAAGAAGAGACACCCAATGAAGCCAAAGCTTTCCATTCACTGTCAGATAGAGGTCATGATGCTGTGGATGTCTCCTGTAGACAGTGGAGGATTTCAAGCTTAGTAGGGATCTGAAGCACATTAGGGGACGGAGGAGTTGGAGTCTCCTTTCGCCACCTTTAGGGAGGGAAGACACCATTGTTCCAGCTTCTGAAAGAAATTTCTTCTTCAAAACAGAAAGATAGTCCCTCTTGGATTCATTCCACTCATCCCTCTGTGCTCCCATGGGTGTTCACACCAGATCATGATCTGCACTGTCAGAGCAAGGGAGAGACAGACTTGGAGTAGTAGCCCTCTACCTGCAAACAGCTCAGCTCACAATTACCTACCTATCCTGTCCTTTCCCATTGTTCTTTACGTGGTTCTGGCCTTGCTTCTACACACACGAGGCACCAAGTTAATGAACATTGGCTTTTATAAAGATTTAGTTAAATTGATGCTTGCCTTTATGTGGCTACACTTCATGTGTGTGTCCATGCAGAGGCGTACACTGGTTTAAACTGATTTAAAAACAGATTTGAGTTAAACTTGTACCCTTTTTGTGCTTGGAAGAGCTTTTGTCTTTCTCTCCTCTGTGGATAACAAGGCTTCCTTTGCTGCTTTCTTATTACAATGTTTTCCACACTGTTATAGCTTTTCAAACTAGTTAAAGCAGATTCTCCTGTCTTGTAAAGAGGATCAAAATGGATGTTGTGTTGTCATGGAAACAAAAGTTTATGGTGTGAAACCTATTTTTTTTTAATTTCACCTAAAATTGGAGAAAATTGCAGAAAACCCAATTTATTCTCTCTCTAACAGGATTATGAAAGGGCAGACGGTAACTCTCATGCTCCGTTTGGCCTCAAACCTAGGTCAGGTAAGGTGGTTTTCTCTAATATAGTATGCCACAACCAATCTTGCTTCCACATTGGAGCTTGAAGATAAGGATGGCAGAGATGTGATACTGGGACTCTGTGCAACAAATAGAAGGGGAGAGGCACTGCCCAGGACAGTGTCCATAGTTGACCTATGGCAAATACCCAGTTTGGAGGGGCATGCTTAGCTGCTCTGCCGAGCTCATAACTGCATGGTCCCTAAGCTTCATACTGATTTCTAGAGCCCTGTTAGGATACAAAATTTGTATCTGCATCTGATCTGCAAACACGGTCTGAATATTCACATACAGGTATCCATGCATGTAAAGCAGCTGTCTGTGGATGTGTGAGGTTCTATTGATTTGTCTTTTGTTTCTTTGGCTACCCTCTGCAGCAATGCTGAGGGAGTAGAGGGAGACAATGCAGAACCGCCACTTGTAATCAAGGGCTGGGAGTTTCACTGAGAGGCAGGTTATTGTCAAATGCCTATAATCGTTTGGCTCAGCACATTAGGTTGGTTTGTCCTTCGTACTTCCAGACAGCTGCTAACTCCCCTTAGAAAGATTGTGCCATATTTGAAACAGACCTTAATTTTCTGAACTCTAGGAAGCAAGTTTGCAAATATTTTTAGTTAGTGTTTTTTTCTGAGGATTGCATCAGTCTTATGCATGTTCTAGATTAAGCATTTAAAGTATAGCTGTGAAATGCCACCTTGGCCATACAATGAGGAATTTCACGTGAACATCTGGGAGTTTCTGAGCTCATTGGGAAAAGCTTGCCTTACCTCGTTACAATATCGATTCAGGTCGACATTTTGCTGTCTTATCTTATTGTTCTTTGTTAATATTAGTTTGTAAATACTCAGTACCAACCTGCACCCTTCAGTTGGACATTTAGTGTCTTTGTGGCCAGTTCATTCTCTAATGTGTAGTGCATTATAAAGAGAGGAAGTTTTAAAGAAGTTTAGGCTTTGGGTATTTCTATAGATTTGGTTGCTAAGATACGAATATACATTTTTTAGGTGTAACATGCATGTCATAAAATGTCCAGAAGCAGTCTTGGCATTAGGAATAAGTTACATAAAATACCTATTATTGGAGATGTCTAGATTATTTCCTGCTAAACCAAAAAAAAAAAAATAATTTACAATATTCAAAATATTATGGAAATTTTCCACGTTAAATACTGTAAAGGTGTTGGTATTTGCAAGCATGAGGAAAATTAAATAGTCACCTATACTTTTTTCCCCACCGTGTAAAGTGATAAACCAAATGCAGGCTAGAATATTTAATGATATTCTTTCCCTTTCAGCAGTGCAGCATTAAGAAGTTTGGTCAGTCAGAAAATTCATATTCCAATTCAGGTGGGCAAGAGGCGGCCAGTGGGCTGATTCTGGCCCACCAAGTCACCGGATCCAGCCCATGGCCACCTCACCAAGACCCTTAAGCATAGAGCAACTCAGAGTTTTAACAGCTGGCTGCTCTGTCCTGATGCTGGAGAAGGAGGGGGATAGCTCTGTGTTCTGGCCCTCTCTCCCAGCAAAATCTCTCTGTTCTCATTGGCTAGTTTCTGGCCAATAGGAGCTGAGAAATGTTGCTAGGGTCAGAGGCAGCATGTGAAGCCTGCCTCGGTCCTCCCGCTCCCCCATGCCTAGAGCAGACACATATGGAACAGCCAGCTGACCAGCCTGGAACTTCAGCAGACATGCAGAGAGCCTGCCCCAGGTTCCTGCAGGGCTGCTGGCTGAGAGCTGCCTGTGTAAGCGCTTCCTAGCCAGAGCCTGCCTCTGGCACCCTCTCCCTTATTGCCCCCCCAACTACCTGCCCCGGGCTACCACCCAAATCCTATGTGCCCCCTTTCCTCCTCCCAGGTCTCAACTGCCTCCCAGGCCTTTTACCCCTTCCTAAAGCACCTCCCCTGGTCCTCTCCTGCACTCCAGTCTCATACCCCAAATCACAACCTCCTTCTTCACCCAAACTTCCTCTCAGACCCCACAACCCCTCCTGCACCCCACCCTAAGCTCCCTTCTGCATCCAACCTTCATCCCAGACCCCACACCTCCTCCATAGAAGTGAAGCCCTTGACCACTTTCCCAAAGTCTTGGAGTGGCCCCCCATTAAACATTATTGCTACCCCTACTCTTGCTTGTGGCTTCATAAACTTTCCCCTGTGACCTGTTTTTAAATATTTAAAAAAATAATTTAAGGTTATAAATAAATGTAAGGAGTTCCTTCCACAACAGTTCTACCCGGGGCTACAGTTAAAAAGCTGTAAGAAGAGATATTTTCAAAAATGTGTGGTATGCCCTTGCAAAAATGAAAGTATAGTACTGTATCAGACAGATTTCCAAGCACAAATGCAGCCATTTGAAGGAAGAGCCAATGTGCTTAGCTTTGAAAATTTAACACCTAAAGACTTCATGTTGCTGCTAGCCATTGAGCCTTGTGTTCTCGTAGTCACTTCATCGGATTGAAACATACTTGTCTTTACTGATGTATTTTTTCCCTGTGGTGGTGGTGGTCCAAATATTGTCTGTTTTATCTCAGCTTTCAGCCGTTCCTCTCGCCAGGACTATGGATCAGCAGACCCTGGATTTACAATGAGGAGGAAAATGGAGCATTTAAGGGAAGAAAGGGAGCAAATAAGACAGCTTCGCAATGTACGTGCCTATGACTTGCTGTCTGGGCTCAGGCTGGGGGGGCACACCCTGTGTTCAGTGAGCTTGCTTTTGCTTTGCACCAGTTTGTTTTCTATTTGTTGTTATAAAACCTTTTCTGCATGGCCCAGGGATTGCAGACAGCGGTGCAAGGGTGATGACTGCAGTGTTGTAACTCTGCCTTAGGAGTTGGTACATAACAGGTTTGTCCTGCCAGGGTGGCAGAAGGATGGCAGTGAGGCTACAGAAAAGGGGATGCAGTTGGGATGCCCTTACACCATGTCAATCTGGGCCACACCTTTGGCCCTTGAGAGATGCATGTTGCTGTAACATGGCACAAGGAGAATGGTGAGCTGTGCACTCTGCTGTGTATCGGAAGGGTTGGCCCTGGGTTTCAAATCCTGATCATTGAATAATCAAATATAATTTGCGGGTAGGACTTTTGCAGAAAAGAGTGTGGATAATGTCAGTGTTTTGAAGAAATGTTTTACTATATGGTTCTCTACTGGCAAACATTTTGTAAGTTATGTTCATTATAAAAAAAGTTTTACCTCTTTTTATGCTGTTATTAAATAGTGGTTAGACAATACTGAAACTTATCCTGATCATTGAATAATCAAATATAATTTGCGGGTAGGACTTTTGCAGAAAAGAGTGTGGATAATGTCAGTGTTTTGAAGAAATGTTTTACTATATGGTTCTCTACTGGCAAACATTTTGTAAGTTATGTTCATTATAAAAAAAGTTTTACCTCTTTTTATGCTGTTATTAAATAGTGGTTAGACAATACTGAAACTTAGAACAGTCGGTTCTTCTGGATGTCTTAAATTAATCCTCCGATTGCCAGCTGCGGTCATTGGAGACTGTACATGTCTAAAGGACACATGATGTACAGCGAGTTCAATTAAACACCAAATCTGTCATAGATAATACCAGGAGAGCAGCTCCAGCTTCTGCTGTAGTAACATTTTGCTCATGCCCAGTTAAGGTGTTGAGGAGCAGTGCTCCTAAGGTGTATAATGTAGTGTGCTTCCTGCCCCTTTTTCCATGAAGGCTTGTTGTTTGGATGGTGGAAAGCACTTCCTCCTTCTCCCGATCTCTTGCTACACGAGTGTAGGTACTTCCATCCCTCACAGATCAGCTATCTCTTGTTGAATGGGTGACCCCTCCCCCCTACTCCAAAATACGCCTGTACGCCAACCCTGTGTTGTATGTGACCCCTCCAATAGAAGAAAAAAAAGTTGTTGCCCACGAATAACATGAATCAAACCCATAGCCTCCATATCTGCACGAGGCTAATGCTGCTTTTAGTCTGACATGTCTACCTACAAATCCTTCACCTTCAAAGAATTAATGTGCTAGCTCTCTATTCTATGGGCATTGACAGGAGCAGTAGATCTGCATGGGTGAACAGAGCACCATGGTAGCAGCTGCATGAGCTGCTACCTCAGTATACTTGTGAACATAGTCACATCATCAAAAACTGAGCTGGAGAAAAAACGGTTAATTATACAAAGACTGGATGCAGTAGCATAAGTCTCCACTTAGTATTGCGATTTTTAAACATGGATTATTGGATTATAAATGAAAGTAAAATTTCCTCAACTGTGGGACTGTTTTTACTGTGGACTTCTCTTCTGCTTGACAGAATCTTGAGTCGAGGTTAAAAGTCATTTTGCCAGATGACATTGGAGCAGCATTGATGGATGGGGTTGTTCTTTGCCATTTAGCCAATCACATAAGGCCACGTTCTGTTGCAAGTATTCATGTACCATCACCAGCAGTGGTGAGTCAGCTACATCATTTGTTTTTGATTGGAAGTGAAAGCAAACTGTTGGAAGTCAGCACTAGGAAATTGTGAATTCTCTTCCCCATATTAAATGGTTATATTATCAATTTCATCTTATTTTAGGATGCAATAAACAAGTATTTGTTGCTGTATTAAGGTTCAAGGGTTTAGTAGGCTATTATGTACCAAGTCTTTACAAAATTAGTTTAGTAACTTGTTTTCTAATACAACTGTTACTATATTTGCATCATGATTATAAAGTCTTTTTATAAATGCATAACAGAGATCTAACATCCTATCTTTACAGCCTAAACTCAGTATGGCAAAATGCAGAAGAAACGTTGAAAACTTTCTTGATGCTTGTAAAAAATTGGGCGTTCCACAGGTATTAATAACTTTATTGATTAATACACTTAATAATCCCAGACAGGGTGAGTCAGCATTTATTTTTCTGGGTTATTTAGAGAGCCTAGTGGATAAAATAGCAAAAAGGGAGTTGGGAGTCCTGTGTTACATTCCTAGCTCTGCAGCTGGCTTGCTGGGTGACCATGGCCAGGTCCCTTCCAGTTTCAGGGGTAATGAAATTGATCATCTGTATAAAATGCTTTAAGATCTGCTAGTGAAAAGCACTATAGGGGGTGGGTGTGTGTGTGTGTGTGTGTGTGTGTGTGTAAGTGTAACCGGGATGAAAGGGATTTTGCAGATCACAAGGTGCATTGACAGATACGTGGAAGAAGCTTGCTTGGCTCTCATGTGCCTCACCTCTACTCCTTGTTGCTAGTCCCTCACTTTCCTTTTACCCATTTTCATTCTTCCATCCCACTCCCTTTCCCCCTCCCCCCCATGACAGGAAATATTATGGGCCAAATTTTCTTCTCTGCATGAGGGGACAGGAAATTCCATGAGTTTGTGTTTGCAGTAGCCGCATGACTGTTCTTCCAGTGGCTGTTTAACTCCACGTCAGTAGGACGGGGAGGTGATTTAACACTGAAACCCATAGTTCCGAAGTATAGCCCTGTACTTCTGCACTGCTTGTGCGCCCATCCTTCATATGAGCACAGCTCCTACAGAAGTCATGTTCCCAATGACTCCCTGAAAGGCTGCTACCCACAACTCCAATTTGGTAGAGCAAAGAGGTTCATGTGGAGTGCAGTGCTTGTAAGAGAATTCCTATGGGTTGCGTGGGAGGTGATTCATTTTTTAATTTCAACCCACCAGCAGACTGTAATCATCTTCACAGACAAATCATAGTGGAGCTTCTTCAGGGACAATGAAGGAAGAAGTCTGACACCGAACCCGCACTACCTTACCCTCGCTCAGTTTTGTTCCCCCATGAGAGCATCTAGGAGTCTCTGGCCCTAAATCTTCAGTAAACTAAAACTGTCAGAAGCTTCTTTATTCTTAAACATTTTCACACACACAGACACACACCCTTAATTTTTGTTTTGCTCTAATTTACCAGGTTTTTTATATTTGTGTGTAATTTTTTCACACTACAGTTATCAGATCTTAGGTGAGATATAATTAACTTCTGAGCACCTTGTCATACTTAATAATATTGCTGTAGAGGTAGATGCATATGCAAACTTATTGACTAGCGAAGATTTCAGAACAATCTCTAATTAGTCACAGTGAGTTCTTTGAGTGCTGAAGTCTTCTAAAAGTACAAGCAATGCAGAATGATTGAAATATGATGCATGTACCATTTTATTTTTCAGGAAAGGCTTTGCCTGCCTCATCACATTTTGGAGGAAAGGGGTCTAGTGAAAGTTGGTCTTACAGTTCAAGCTTTGCTTGAACTACCTTCATCTAAAGCATCCCAGCTTTCCTCTGTCTAACGTGACTTTTGAAAACCAGGCAACTTATCATTGGTCTGTTGCTGCCAAGCAGTTCTGCTTCCTGAATGGGAACAGCCAAGCCATCAGAAGTAGTTTGTGCCCACACACTTTAAACAGAGCCTTACTTTGGAAAGATACATACAAACTTTAATTTCAAACTGACAATTACCTGAATATAAAGTTGTTCTGATGTTTTAAAACTTGGATGCACAAGAGAGTTTAACGGCATCAGATTCTGTGTCCAGGTAATATAAGTTCCCAGTTTTCCATTAATATTTCATGACCGTATTTTTAAAAGCTGGATTTTTTTTTTTTACTATAAATGCTGTTTTATTTTATAAAGAATAATATGCACAGCAAACAAAGCCCTACTATAAAAAGTTTGTCAATCATTTGGTTCAAGTGTAAAGATAAAACAAAAGCCTCGCTACAGTATGATGGTGAAAATCTGAGTGACACATCACATTGAATCCATTTTTGTTTCATATAACTCTATATTTGAGTTCTTTATTTCTTGCACTTCTGACTGTAATTTATATACTTCTAACATCTCCATTATTTAGTTGGATGTATAATAATTACACAAAACATTATATAGCAAAAAGGGTTTTTCCAACCTAAGTTCGTGCCAAACTATTTTTTTAGTTGTACTGTAGATTGTTTACATGTGAAGTGCCTGTGTAATTGATGACTCTTGATAGTCTTAAACATTTTTGCAATTTCTTTTTCTGAACTAGATGCAATGGGAATTTTAAAATATTTTAATAGTTTTTTGTAAGGTCAGTAAATGATGCTTCACATTTTTGGTGTTATATGTTTTAAGTTGCACAAATTAATTATGTTGTCTAATGATTGGAAAATAATGTAAATACATGTTATTTATGCTATTTAATTTAGTAATACCCAATCACTTTTGTTTTAATGTATTGTTAACAAAAATTGTCACTTTGAGTTATTTTTTCCTTGTTTGGGACAAACCATGATGTCCAGAGATAAATCAGAAGGGTGTGGGCTAGGGACCAGTACGTAATAATCATTAAGGATGTTTTGATAAAGCTGCCAAAATCTCAGGTTTATGCTGTGACTTTCAGAATTTTACATTATGTTGGTCCATTAGATTTGTACATTATCAGAAATCACCACAAGTTAGATTAAAAGAGGGGGCTAGGAATCTTTATATTTTTCCAGCGTTTACAGGTTTGTTTGAGAGGGACTTAATTTGGGAAAAACTGCCTGCATGTCACGTCGCACATTCACTTTGCACCAATGCTTCTCATTTGCACCATTGTCGCCAGTTATCAGCGGTTAACTCTGTGCTGAAAATGTCACACACTTTGGGATAAATGTAAAAACAAAAAATCCCACAACAGAAACTTTTTCATACTTGGCTAGATATAAGTACTTGCTTCTACATCTTTTCTGACTGATATATCCCCACAGTGTTCTGAGAACTTTCAAAATGATAGACAGTTGACTCCCTTTCTTTCTGATGTGGTTCTGTTTTTTTCCTTCCTCCCAAACAAATTTACCTTCTTAGTAAATATATGACTCAATGAAAAATGGTTGGTTCTGGGTCAGTGTGTTTTCAGACAGTTACTTTAGACCAAGGGGTAAAATTTTGTGTGCCAGATGATGTCAAGATAATTAATTGATGCTCTTTTGCCAATTGACCTAAAACTGTTTTGTTACATTTGGCTAAGGAATAAGGAAGAAAATATTGATTTGGTTTTTCCTTGCTGTCTTTAATTGAAGCAATAAAGCCAGGTGAGAAGACTGCCTAGAGCAGGGGGCTGGACTTGATGACCTTCTGAGGTCTCTTCCAGTTCTATGATTCTATGATAAGACAAACAAACATCTTGATAGCTAAAATATCTAGAAGATACAATTATTTTAATGCTCTTTAACTAAAATCCATTGAAATTAAAATAATTCATGGAGTCTTGGTAGCATATGCTGTTTATAAAGTGTATTCTGAGATACAGCTCATTAAAAAAACCCAATGCTCTCTTTATAAAATCATTCCTATATAACAACATCTGGTACTCATGCACAAATTGAAAACGGCTCATTAATGTTTGGCCATTAAAATAAGTTTAATTTACCTTTCCTCTAAATTATCCTTTTTATTTATCTTAATTCACATTCATAGGAGAGATTCATTTAAAAAATGAAGGGGTAAATGTATTCTCATTTTACATGCATGCAATATCAGGGAAAAATTAAATTTAGTTGAGATTAAAATGAACAAGCAAATTTAGTTTAGTAAGCAGATTTTGGGTTGTTACGTTGTGCAGGTACCGGGTTGGGGAGCACTCACCACCCAGTTCCTGCACAGCCGGATGAGCGCTCCCCCTGCCCCGTCCTACGGCTGCGGAGGAATCGGGTGGTGAGCTGGTGTGTTTAAAAAAAAAATTGTATACCCCGTGGAGGGGTGGGGGAGGGTGGGGGTTTGTAAAAACGAATATAACCCATGGGTTATATTCGCTAAATTACAGTAAGTTTCAGACTTATGTAATCGCTAAACTGGATAATGCAAACGCTTGTTGGACTGTTTAAATACGTTCACCAGTCCTCAGTGACATTTCAGTTTTCCAGATGGAATTAAGTTTCCTCTGCAAAGTCTGCTGAATACAACGCAAGCCTCACTTAATACCACTTCTAGTCAGTTTGTTTTGTGTATCTTTTGTGGAGTATTGTAATGTGTGAAGAGAGGAAAATGTTTTATGTCTGAATGTAAACACTAAGTCTAGCTGTCAGAGTAGTGTACGCTAGCTTCACTTAAAAAAAAAAAAAAAACCAGTTTTCCCTAAAGAGCTTTAAATAGTTTGACAGTTAAAAAAATACTGTTGATATCATTACTGTATTTCATTTACATTTGACTGTTCATACGTACAGTGAAATAATTAAGAAATTTTTAATATTTAAAATGTTCATAATCATAAGTATTGCTGAAATAGCTTTGCTTTGTTATAGAAACTATCCAAGCCCCCGTTTACCCCCTCTGAAAGGAATCAAACCTGAGAGAAGAGGCGAAGCATGGAGGATACTCCAAGATTCTTCTTGGGGAATTTCCTGCTTATCGGGTCACATTAGAAAAGTTTGGTGTCCTTTAGAGTGAGCCCATAAATCTACAAGGAAAGGACACCAAGATCTGCATGGTTCTCTTCAGTTCCCCCCCCAGACGTAGTATGGCTTTGGAGCACCGTGCTGAAATTAGCTATGCTGCCCCATAGCCATTTGGTAGCGTACACCTGGGAGAATTCTGTGCCCCAAATTAAAAATTCTGCACAGTGTTAAAATTCTGCTTTTGTCAAAATAACATTACGTAATCACATCACTTTCAATTATTTGGGTAATTTGTTTCAAAACACCTTTCAGCAACTACGTCTGCAACAATGCAGACTGCCCAAAAGATTCCCGCCCGGAGGCAGAACGTTAAAGCCCTACAACAACCTAGTCCCTGTTACGCTGGCTTCTCCCTCTGAGCCAGGCTGTGGAGCACCCCATGGCCCATACGTCTGCACCACCTCTCCCCTCAGAGCCCAGCCATGGGGCACCCCCAGCCCAGACACCCTCACCCCAAAAAAATCCTCTGCAGGGTTCCCTGGTACAGACCCCCCCTACCCTGAGCCCAGTCACAGGGTCAGACACCTGCTCCCCAGCCCAGACACTTGCACCTCCTCCTGCCCAGGGATTTAGAGTCTCATGCTGGCTCACAGGCTTGTATGGAGTTTCCTGCATGCTGGGAACCGCAGCTGCCCAGAACATGCCCTCTCCGCTCTAGCAAGATCCTGTATTGGAGAGCTGGGCTTTGTTGGACCCAGTGGTCCCAAATGTCAGCCAGCAGTTCTGTAGCACCAGTTCTGCAGGGAAAAAGGGAATTCTGCACAGATTGTGCATTGCAGATGATGCAGGATTGCCCCAGGAGTGGTGGCAGCTTCAGAAGCGACTGACAAGGGATCCATGCTTTTAAGAGATGAAGGAACAATACCCCCAATCTGGAAATGGGAGAGGCATTACTGCCTACAGCCCATCTTTTCCCCCCACCTCGGACTGCCATCCCCACGACTGCAATTCAGAGGGCGAGGGAGTGGCAAGGTTCCTTAGGGCTCTCATGGATGATGGCTAGATTTCTGTGCACAAATCAGAGTTCTGACCGGGATGCAGTGTGGCAGGGCCTGGCCTTTCCCTCGGGTTAGTCCAGCCCGCTCAGTGGAAGTCACAGTCCCTGTCGTCCTCTCATAACAGGCAAGGAGAAAGCAGCCCAAAGATGCCCCCAGCTTTCATCATGGACTGTGATATTGCATGTTTGGAATTTTTCTTAAATGTCACTAATCACAAGTAGTCGCCATATAATACTTTTATTTATTATCTATCTCCATTTCTAGCTGCATCTGCTTACAGACTCACTAACTTTCCCCTCTCATGCCCCCAGTAACCTTCCCCCCATTAGTTTTTCACATGGGAAACTGTCACATAGTTCAGCAGTGAGGCGTCTAAGAGATCCCCACATCCTGCCCATTAGAAACACTGTTTCCATTCTGTGTAGGACCGTGTGTGGTGACACGGATTGCACCGTTTGGTGAGGGCTTCAGAGCACTCAGCATTGGCTTGACTTGAGTAGGACTAGTTATGCCAACAGTAAGAGCTTTAGGGAATCTCACTCATTAAGGCTTGACAGTTACAGTGCTGTAGGAGTTATTTACGAACTAATTATTCAAAGCCAAGTTACTGCAATAAAACCACAGTAAGGCATGTTTAGTGATTTATTACATGTCTGAACATACCAAAATGTTTTCTTTGGCCCCAGCATGTTGTCTTTTTCCCCATAGATGGACAGGGTATTGGCATGGCTCCAGTGCAACCCACAGGAATGTTGTGTCCTTCAAGGGGTAAGATTATTAGTGAGGTCGTTTCTAGTTGATTGTACCCTGTTTTAAGTAATGGCATTAAAGTGTTTAGTTCAAGGTGACAAAATGACTTCAACCTGTCAGAAATACACGTACTGACATGTCTCAGTGGTTTGCATATAGATAATTAAAGGTTGGAGTGGCTAGATCTGTGACTTTGATTTGCACTGTACATAGGACTGCAGGTCATTGACCGACAAATAGGCTCAGATATGTCCAGATTTTTAAAGCTCTTCCATAATATAACCAGGAAGGACCTACCTCAGAGGTGGCCAACCTGTGGCTCCAGAGCCATACGCGGCTCCTTGCTTAGGTACCAAATCCAGGGCTGCAGCTACAGGTGCCAACTTCCCACTGGGCTGGAGGGTGCTCACTGTTCAACCCCCAGCTCTGCCCTAGGCTCTTTCCCCCTAGGATCCTGCCACTTCCTACCCTCTCCACAGAGCCTGTCACACCCTTGCTTCCCCCCTCCAGTGTCTGCCACTGAGACACAGCTGATCCCAGTGGCAGGAGGAAAAGAAGGAGGCACTGACTGGTGGGGCTGCCAGGGGCTGGGATGTGCTGAGAGCGGTGGTGGGGAGATGAGCAAGGCTGGTGACATAGAACGGTGGCTCTTTGTCAATGTGCGTTGGTACATTCTGGTTCCTCCTCAGGTTTAGGTTGGCCAGCCAGACCTACATAATGTACTGCATAAAGGAGTAGGTTAAGAAAGGAATAGTAGTAATCGTTTAGCTGTATCATGAATTGTAAGGAAGTGCCAGGAAGACGGGAAGAGCTGCAGGGTCTCAGTGTGGACAAGACGAGGGTGCAGGAAGGAGCATTATTTTAGGATTACTAGGAACTAGGGAACCTTTCGAGAAAAGAAGGCCTAAAATGGAATCATCATTTCTTGCATGTGAAATTCAAACTGGTAGAGCGGAGCACATGGTCCATTAGGGATGAATTTAAGTGGGATATTCTATATCCTAGTGAAAAGGAGAGGAAAGAAGTTTGGAAAGTACATATTGGAGCAAGGGAGGAGCAGTAAAACATAAGAATCCCTTCAAATATAACACATGAATGAAAGCAAGAACTGAATAACAAAATGTAAGTGCTTATATAAAATATGAGACGTTTAAATACTAACATGGGTGAACTAAATTGCCGGGCATTAAATGAGGATATTGATATAATAAACATCCTGAAAACTTGGATGAAGATAATCAACGGAGGACACAAATACCAGAATCCAAAGACATATGAAATGATGAAGTCTAAATGGATTTTTTATTACTCAAGAAATAGATCTTGGATTCATTGTGGATAGTTCTCTGAAAACATCTGCTCAATGTGCAGCAGCCAAAATAGCAAAAAGAAATGAGAAACCATAAGGAAAGGGATAGATAAGAAGATAGTGTCATCGTGATATTACACACATTTGTACTACTGCATGCCTTTCTGGTCACTCCATCTCAAAAAAATATTAGAATTAAAAAAGATTCAGAGGACAGTAAAACTTATTAGGAGTATGGAACAGCTTCCATATGAGAAGAGATTTAAAAAGACTGGGAGTGTTCAGCCAAAGAAGAAAACGACTAAATGTGAGTGAGAGCGGTCTGTAGAATCATGACTGGTGTGGAGAAGTGTTATTTCCCCCTTTCCGTAAAGCAAGAGCCAGGGGCCCCAGGATGACATTAATCGGCAGCAGGCTGGAAACAGATGTTTCGCACCGAGCACAGCCAGCCTGTGGGACTTGCTGCCTGGGAACGCTGTAAAGGCTAAAAGTCTCTAGTCCTTTTCTGACCCTAGCTGTAAGTTCAAGAACCATTAGTGGCCATTAGCCAAGATGATCAGGGATGCAGCCCTGTGCTCTGGGTGTCCCTAAAGCTCTAGCTGCCAGAAGCTTGGACTGAAGGGACCAGGGGATGGCTCCTTCGAAATTGCCTTGTTCTAATCATTCTCTCTGAAGCATCTGGCTGTGGGCACTGTCAGAAGACAGCACATGTCCATTCTGCTCTTCCAGGCAAGTCCTCCGTAGGCCACTCTTCATAAAGTGCCACTCTTCTTTGCCTCTACCTGGAGTTTATCCCTAAAATAATTTGAGGTTCACATAAAACAAGCTCCTTATTGGGATTTTTCCCAAAACAGCAATGCTGCTGAGGAGGAGAGTGGACGTCACTCTCTTGATGTCCAACAGGCACTGGCACGCTGTGTGCAGAGAATGAAAGCAAATAGGAACCCACCAAGACTGTTTAGCACCTTATCAGAGCAATCAAGGACTCCAGGATTATCCATGCACAGACTCTGCAAAAGGAACTCAAGCTGCACCATCCTTTCCTCCCAAGTAACATGTTTCTCTCACACATCTCGGAAGGGGGGAGAGCCCGATTCCCTGGAGTACAGACAAACCTCTACAACCATGGCGTCCAACCAGCTCTGAAGCAGTAGCCACTATAGTGGCCCACACTCCACTGGCCAAATAGCCACATTGTTTGAGCCAACTTGCCACATGTGGCTAATGGTTAGTATGTTGGACACCACGGCTCTACAGCATCTCTGAGATGAACTCTACTAGCTGTATCCACAAGGCAGCTACTTTGGAACTCGCCATATATTCAGATGCTACACGTTGGCCCATACCTGTGCTGCAGATATAGCTGTGGGAACAGACATGCATGCCCTCTTCATCCTTGTGAAGCAGGAGGTGGAGACTACTGCTTACTAATTTCCCATGTGTGGGGTGCACATAGGAGCCGTCACTCAAAGAAGAAATGGAAGCAGGTTACCTGGAAGTGGAGGTTTTTTGATATGGGTGGTCCCTAATTGTATTTCACTGCCCACTCCATCCCCTTTGCGGTGGCTGATGGCTGGATTTGCTGTAAGAACAGACTAAAAAAGCATCTGTCTGCACGGTGCCTTATACTCTTGGTTCAGAGCATGAGGAGAGCAACTGCACACATGTAAACCAACAGACGTTGCTTACTAAAAATCTTCAGAATCATGGGTGGGGCATATCCTTACACACGTGTGGAACACGGATAAAGACCACACATCCTGAAGAACCTCTAGTTAGAGGTAAGCAACCTCTCGACCATTTTCTGCACTGAGTTAGTCCGAGGTGTGCATCCTTTTTGGAAATCCTGATCTGTTACTTCCAACAACTTCAGCTGAAAATGGCATGCTGGTTGTTTTAAAAAGTCTCACGTAAATAAAGGAATACCACTGAGCTCTGAGATTGTAAAGGGTATGGACCATTAGAACTTGTCAAGAGGATATGTACAGTTTTGTGGGGCATAGAATTTCCAGCAGGGTGTCTGTGGGCTGCACTGCAGACCAGATTTATTCAGAGGATAAGTTAGCCTGGTGCAGCAATGGGAGTGGGGAGAAGAGCGGGCAGATGGCTTGGAATTAGTGTAGTTCTCGGGGGAAGGCAACAGCTCCCAGTTCTGGACCCACGTCTCTCTGTAAAGGCCATAGCAAGTATAGAATTTGCTTCCTGAGTCTCCCAAAGGCTAGGGAATCTAGTCCTGCAAGGCGTTCATGGCTCGCTGCCTTAGCTCTGCCAAGCGTCCTTTCCAGCCATTCCTCCCACCCCTTGTGACCATGCTTGTGGGATGACAGTAACATCTGCTCGCTCCCTCTTCATCTCACTGATTGAGCTCCATGTTAGAGATCAGAAACAAGGGAGGGGACATTGAGGTCACAAAGTCCTTTTCGTGTATTTCCTTTTTGCCAGCCACCAAGGAAAGAGAGATCCCTTCCCATGCCTTTCTGGGCACATCTACCCTTCCTAGAGCATTGGGCAGCACCCAACCAGGGCCTGCCCCGAGATCAGTTCTGCAAACGAAATTCCTGTGTACACGTAAGGGGGCTAGGATTCGGTGGCTGAAAAAACCCAACGCCTCTTTTGTGGAGCAGTATCCTTTGCAGGGACAGCAGATAGTTATTGGGGGAAGTGAAAGCTGAGTGCGCATTTTCCAGTAATTTTCACACGCACACACAAAAATACTGTTATCCTGGACTCCTGAAAGGAATGTTCATCGAGAGAATGCAGTGCTGCGAACAAGAAGACATTTCCCTGGTGTTAGTTGCTTCTCTACTCCAGTTTGTCCTCATATGAAAAGAAACCGTGTTACCACTCCTGGCCATTACATGCCTAGCACATAGTTTAACATAATATGCACGCAATACATTTATAGTGGCATCTTCACACTGGTGGGGAAAACATGTATATCGAATGCACAGCATTTTTTAAAAAATACACTGTTTTATGTAGCTATTTTGGTGATATGCATGTGAAAAGAAAACATTACGCTTTTATTTCTAATGTGGAAATTGTTCTTTCCACATTGGCCCCGTGTCTAAAATCAAGATGCTTCCTTCTTAGTTTAATTCAAGTCAATGGCTTTAATTTTTACTTCGTAGACTAGTGCTTTGTATGGGTTTAAGAAGATACTTTCTATAGAGCATTTCTGTTAACACACACTGAAATTGTAGTTTTGTTACACTGTGTTTCACTGTCTTTTTTTGTTATTTTCTAAAACACACTTGAGTTCATAAAAGCCACTTGATCATTTTTAGGTGGAGGAGAAAGCAATAATGACCAAGATGGCATCAGTCACTATGTCTACACTGTAATGCTATTTCAGGATACTGGGGTGTCCCAAAATAGCAGTCCATATCTTAACAGCAAGCCTGTTGTTTTGGGCTCATTATTCCGACGTCCCAGTAAACCTCATTCCACAAGGAGTAAGGGATGTTTCTGAATAGCAACTTATTTCAAAATGTGGCTATTTCAAGCGACAATGCAGTGTTGATGCACCCTGAATGATTTTCTAATTGCTTTTAAAGTATATTGAAATTAACAGTTTTCGACAAGCTTTCTTTAAATCTAGCCTTCTGAGCCACACATCTGCCTTGAGGGCGGGGGGCTGGACTCGATGACCTCTCAAAGTCCCTTCCAGTCCTATTATTCTATGATTCTATGATCTGAATGCCAGTCCTCGAAAAGCTTTAGAAAACATCCTTATTTTTCTGAGAAGTCATAAAAAAGCAGAATTGTTGAAACCTCACACAAATTAAATCCTGATGGGTGATGTTCTAACCCATTGAAATCAGTTTCAAAACTCTGCGTGACTTCAGGGGAACTTCCCCAGAGCATGTATTACAGAGCAACCTATCTGACACAATCTGTTGGCACTTAAGATACAGTTAAGGCTTCCCTAGGGGAAGTGTAGTAATATCAAACAGCCAGACAGATCAAGTACATGGTGGTAACCACGCAAGTGTGTGTTTCTGTTGAGGGGGGGGGTTCGTTTAAATCAGTCATTTGCGTAGAATGGCAGTTTTTGTTTTGGGCCTGACCATGTAGCTGAGACATGGAATTGATGCTGGACCATGGAAGTTCTGTTGGTAAAGCGCAGGAAGGATCAGGCCTTTCTTTGTAAGTATTAGTACAGGTTTGTTTAGTAAACCCGTATACTGTAGTAAGCATTGATAGGGCATTGCCACAAGAGGGGAGATTTCCACGTGGCCCCTGTTTTGTGTTGCATCTACAGTATATGTGTGTACTGTCTGTGTAGTACGTACACAGACATTGTAAAGGGATTGTTTGGTGACTAGTGTGGGATTCATGTGAATTTTAACTATTGTGTAATCTGTAGAGCCAAGAACATGTGATTGCTTAAAAACCATGTTACAAGATCAGTTGGTCAGTATTCACATATTTTGTTTTGTACATTTTTTATTTCTTATGAAACTCAGAAAACACAATATAACCAAATCAGCAACATGTAAATGTATGCAAAATTTACAGTGATTCTGAGTCAGATATCTGGAAAGTGATCATATAAGTAGCAGCAAATGCTTAAATTGTGTTAAATATTTGTAACACAACTATTTGATATTGCATTTTAATCCATTCTGCATTTCATATTCCATAACCCTTATCCCTCCGTTTTGAAGTTCGCCTACATGTACAATTCTGTATCTTGAGTCTTTTAATTTTCAGGACTTCCATTATTGCTGGTGCTTCCAACGTGCATCTGTTTCTTTGGAAAACAACTCTACTGTTATTTTTTGTAAATAGTTTTGTATTGAATTTGCATGGATAAACCCCTCCCCCCACCCAAAACCAGTGTATATATTCTATGTATAAAATACAAACTGTTTCATAACTTCCACGTAGCCGAGTTATTCATTTTAATCGTTTGTCTAATGATGTGTGACTTATCAAATTCTGATTTACCTGCTGTTCAGCCAAATCCCCTTTTAAAGCAGGGGTGGGGAACCTTTTTCCATCAGAGGCCACTAACCCACAACAAAAGGGAGTCGCGGCCACACACGGCGCGGATGCAAGCTCTAGGAGGGTTAGGGTGAGGAAGGGGGTTCTGACCTTGGCCAGGGGTTTTGGGGGAGGGTTCAGGCTGAGGCTAGAGGTTCAGGTGTGGGGGGAGTTAGGGTACTGGTTCTAGCCAGAGCCTGTTCCCTCAAGTGCTCCCAATTGGACGCACAATGGTGCTCAGGGAGGGTACCCCCGCCCTGATCCCATGCTGCTCCCAGAAGCTGCCACAGCGGCACTGCATCTTTCCTGCAGCGAGGCAAGCTGGCACTTGCAGTTCCAGCCTGGGACGGGGGGGAAGGGGACGTGCTGACACTCGGGGCTTCCGGTCCACAGCCAATTTCTGCACCACAGACCGCCCCAAAGAAAGCAGGGACCTGATCCGGCCACAAGTCTCCCACCCCTGTTTTAAAGGCCAGTGCTCATGTCTGAGGCAACAATGAAGAGTTTTTACAACACAACTTTTGTTCTCAGAGAACCATAGAGCTGGAAGAGATCGCAGGAGGTCAAGTCCAGCCCCCTTCCCAAGGCAGGACCAATCCCAACTGAATCAACCCGGCCAGGGCTTTGTCAAGCCGAGACTTAAAAACCTCCAGGGATAGAGATTCCACCACCTCCCTAGGGAACCCAGCCCAGTGCTTCACCACCCGCCTAGGGAAATAGTTTTTCCTAATGTCCGACCTAGACCTCCCCCACTGCAACTTGAGCCCATTGCTCCTCTTCTGCCATCTGCCCCCACTGAGAACAGCCTCTCTCCATCCTCTTTGCAA